AAATTCAAATTCAAAAGTTCTCTGATTTACCTTTGCATTCTGGTGTGACTAAAAGGAATTAATAATAATAATAATAATAATAATAATAATAATAATTCATCAAATCAAGATTCAACAGTTAAGGAAGAAGTTGATAAAAAGCAATGGACAGCAATTGATTTTGTATTTAAAATGAATCACATTCACTTGGAAATATTTTCTGGTGATGGATTTCAAGTAAAATCTTTAGATGAAATGAGTTTATCCAAATTTTCACTTAATCAAAGTAATACCAAATTTAAAATGATGAATGATGGATCAATGGAAGGAGAACTTTGTATTCGTTCAGTTACCTTAAACGATACAAGACCAAATATCAAAAATGTTTATAGAGAGATATTACCCGCAGTAAACAAAGATAGTTCACAATTCACTCTCAGTTTTACAATGACCAGTGGAATAGAGAGAGATATAATAGCTATCGTCACATTTGATAGTCCTACTGTTATATTAACATTAGATCATTTATTTGCCACACGTAATTATTTCATGAGTGCATTTGAAAATTCATCAACAAATAACGATGAACAAAATGAATTAATTGAACAAAATGGTCAAAGTGGTTCTCAATCACCTAGTTCACCTACTTCATCTAATTCATCTATACATTCACAATCACCAATGTTACCACCACGTTCAATAGCTATTCAACCTCAACAGAAACAAACTACTCCAACTACTATATTTAATTATCGAGTGAGTGTTGAAAATGCTGAAATCATTTTACTTGCTAATCCACATTTAGCAAGTACTGAAGCAGTAATTCTTTCTGCTCAACAATTGGTTCTTGCCAAACAAGGGGTTATGTCATTGGCAGTTGATCAAATAGGAATGTTTTTATGTCGTATGGATCAAAGAGAATCAACTCAATTACGATTTATTGATAATTTCAATTTTAATATGTCAATGGATACTCGTAGTTCCAAACCAGGACAACAACTTACAAATATTGAGGTTGATGTTGGACCACTAATTTTAAGAGTATCATATAGGGATGTTTTATTAATCGGTTCAATTGTAAATAAAGTATCAGAACTTTCATCACAATCAACCGCCGATGAACCTGAATCAACCGAGAAAGATGAAGAATCTTCAGATACGAATGCGTTAAGAACGTTTAATTATGATAAACTGGGTTCCCCCAAGAAAAATAATAGTAAAGGACGTCAATATAACACACAGGCTTTTCTGACACGTGAAGTGGTAATAAATAAATATATTATTTATTATTTATTATTTTGATTTTTTATTTTATTATTAAAAATTTGATAAATTATTACTTCTAAAAATTAAATATAAATAATTTTTATTATATATAGCTCAAAGCAACATTTCAAGGAACGAGATTAATATTAATTGGGGATGAACACGATATCCCAATGATTGATGGAAAATGTAATAACTTTACTGTAACAGTAAATGATTGGTCATCTCAGGTTTGAATTACTTTTAATTTTTTATTTATTTTATTTATTTATTATTATTATTATTATTATTATTATTATTATTATTTTTATTATTTATTACTTTAGAAAGAATTAATTAAATATTAATTTTGTTACATTTATTTTTTTTTTAGATGAGCGTTGATGCCACCATATCAACTTATATGAATTATTTTAATCTTACAAATTCACATTGGGAACCACTTGTTGAACCATGGCAATATAGCCTTCATGTATTTATATTTTACTTTTTATTTTATTTCCGAGGGAAAAGTATTTAATATTATTACTTATTATTATTATTATTATTTGGTTATTTTAGGCTTCAAAGAATATAAATCCCGAAAGTATGGTGATAGATATTTCTTCTCAGAAACGACTAGAATTAAATATCACGCATATATTCATAGAAACAATGTGGACTACACTTTCTATACTTAATCATGAGAGCGAGGTTTGTTAATTTACTATAAATTTTTGTCTTTTCTATTTAATAAGTAATAATCATTTGTAATTATTTTCAATTCATTACTCGTAATCATTTATAATTATTAGCATGTTCTTAGTACCGATCGAGGATCAAAAACACCTTATAAACTTAGAAATAAAACAGGTTACAATATGCACATTTGGGCAATTTCATCTGATGATGCCAAAGATACTGTGGTAGAAGAATTGAATGATGGTCATGAATTAAATTGGAGATTTGATGATTGGCGTAAAACTCGTGAAGTTTGTATTCTTCTATATTTTAATGAAAATAAAGTTATTATAAATAAATATTTATTTATATAATTTATATACATTTATTATTTATTTAGTCAATGAATATAACCAAAAATATTCTTGGTATACAATTTGATGGAGCTTTATGGGAAAGCATTAAAGAAATTCCCGTAGATAGAGAAGGGGAAACACTTTATTCTCTACGTCCTAAAATAAAGAATGTTTCTCATCGTTTGGTGGTTCATGTGAAATTAGAAGATAATATCAAGGTAGTAACATTTAGATCAGCCCTCGTTGTTGAAAATCGTACACTTTTGGTTATGGAACTTTTAGTTGTTGATGATCATGAAAATGCAATGTCCACCGTTCAACGAATTGGTAAATTATTATATTTATTTATTTATTAATATTTATTAATATTATTTTGAATAATTTGATTAACCGATTATTTTCAATATTATTTAGCTCCGGGAGAAGATTATCCTGTTCCAATAGAAGTTGCGTACAATTGTAAACTTAAAATGAGACCTGATGGTAATTTCGTAATTCGAAAAATATATTTCTTGAAATATCAAGTTTTTACTGATTAATATTAATAATAAATATTTCGTTCTTTTTATTTTTATTTATTTATTTAATTAATAATTTTATGTTCCAGGAAATTTTGGTTATAATTGGAGTAGAGAGAGCTTATACTGGAAAGATTTCTTGAAACCTGATCCAATTACTTCACTTTCTTGTGAGAATTTTCAACAAGAAGATGAAGATGGTCTATTCAGATTCCAAGTATTTGCTCGATATAGTAAAAACGATCCTCTCATCAAGTAAATTTTTTTCGTCCTATCATCAGATTTACGCATTTTATAATTCACACTTATTTGAAATCTTTTATTTATTTATTTTTTTTATCTCGATTAATTATGATAATAGAGTGTATCCTTATATGACCATTCGTTTAAGTGCACCAATTCAAGTCGAAAATTTATTACCTTATGATATTGATTTCTGTATCCGTGTCGTCTATGATAATAAAGAGAAACATGATTGGGCTAATAATTTCTTACGTAAAGGACAAGTAACATCATTTCATCACATTGAATTGGGAACCTTACTCCTTAGTGTCAAAGTTCTTGATACAGGTATTAAAATTTATTTATTTTATTTATTTATTTTAAATTTATTAAATTCCACTTTTATTTTTTACCTAATTTTTATTTATCTATTACTTTAATTATCTTTAAAGATTATGATACTAGTGAATTTGCTATAATACGTGCACCAGATAGATATGAATATAATATTGATAGCCAATTAACTTTAACTGATAAAGAGGGTTTGAAATTAAACCTTAAAATACATTATTCGTGAGTGAAATTATTATTATTTTTTTTTTTTGCTTTTAAAATTATTTCATAATAATAATTATTTATTTATTTTATTATTATTATTATTTTTTTTTTTTTAGCGAAATTCCCGATTCCGGAGGAGCTTTCAAATATAGTATTTATAGTCCTTATGTCATGATAAATAAAACAGGTTTAGATATGGTATTTAAATCTAAATCGCTTATGTCGTTTATGCAATCTGCCAAATTTGCGGCTGGTCAAGGTTATTTTTCATTTTTTTATATTGGTTTATATTGTTTATATTTATTTGTATTTATTTATATTTATTTGTATTTATTTATATTAAAATATATTTAGGATGGCTAAGAAAAAAGGATCAAAATGTAAGCTATTTTGAAATAATTTGTTTAGTTGAAGAAGTTAGTAAACTAATGATATATGTATTTTTTTTTTTTAATTATAGGCTGCTCCATACATGTTTTCATATCCAAATGAAGAAACTCGGTATAGAGCTCTCCTAAAAGTAGGAGATTCAGAATGGAGCAAGGTAAAATTTGTCATGTTTATCTTTTATTTCTTAATTTTCTTATTTTAATTTATTAATTCATTTATTCATTGATTAATTTTTTACTTTTTCAGCCACTAAGTTTTGAAGCAGTTGGCACGTTTTTAGAAGTCGTAGTTCCTTCAGCCACTAAAACCGAAGAGATACATTTGGGTGTTAGTATACAAGAAGGACATCAAAAAGTATGTAAAAATATTAAACTCGATTAGTTATTTATTTATTTATTTTTTATTATTATTATTATTATTATTATTATTATTGTTGTTGTTGCTTTAAAATTAAGTTAAACAAATAATAATCTTAATATTTATTTAAATAAATAAATAGTATAAATTGACCAAAATTGTAGAATTTACTCCACGGTTCATAATCAAAAATAATTTGAACGAAGATCTTAATTTCCGTGAACCTGAATCAAATGTTATTAATAGTGTGAAGGCTAGAGATAGAGCAGCACTTCATTTCCTTAAACAAGGGGACGTTAAACAATTGACGTTGTGCTATCCTGGCTTAAATAAAACTTGGTATTTTTTAATATTTTAAATAAATTTTTAATAATTTTTTTTTTTATATATTTGTTGTATATATAGAATAAAATCAAATAATTATTATATAATTTAGGTCAGCACCAATTAATATTTATGAACTTGGAAAGAGTCTT